AAACCGAAGACTCCAAGTTTTCCAACTCTGTGTAAGTCAACTCAGAGTTCAGGTTTAAACTCTGAGTTTGTTAAACCTCCTTCTTGAAACGGGCCCCTGGTGCACACCATGGCCAAATTGTCCAACACATCTGCACTTTAAAGTCCCACTCCAGAGACATTTTAATATTTATAGTTGCATATAAAAATAAAGTCCCCATGTCAAGCTTATTTTGCTCATTTCCAGCCATTTAATGTTTAATCTTGGGTACCTCTAGATTAGCTTTGCAACCATCGCAGTTGCCCCTCATTGCACAATACGGGATTTATGAATATTCAAATATATGCAAATGTGCCCACAGCACGTTTGGTCTAGTGACACTGAATCTGACCACCGCTGATTCCCCCACATAGACCAGTGGATGTCATTAGGATGTGATGCAGGTGTGAAAACTAAAGAGATGTAGCAGTTTATGTTTGAGCCTCATTCACCCATTACATAGTAATACTGTGTAAAAGAGATACAAGTCAAATGTCCAAATATATTTGAAGTCTGGCTGAGAGTTTGACATGTCTTTAACATCATGTGTTTGACAGTATGTCTTTACTTTCTCAGTTGGTCCAGCACGTAATCTATCACGGAAAATTGATTATTAACAGTAGGCTGTTTGCATGCAGTTCGAATACTAATACTGTTGCATTAGTCATCCATATGTAGCATTTTAATTTGCTGTTGATACGCCAGCATGTCTACTATCATCCTGTAAGGACTGCTTGAACAGGATAATGAGCGAGTCACAAAAATAGACGGACCCAGGTGGCTGACTTCGGTGCAGACAGTGTAGTTTATTTACAGTGCTGTATAAGTGACAAGAAATGAACAGAGGAACAATGGAACCGGGTGTCGAGCATAGGAGTGTACACAGTCAATGATGGAGATGATGAGAAGAAGACCGGGCTGCGGACAATGGGACTCACTCCTGGACTGGTCGGGTTAGGTGCAACTGCAGATAAACAGAAATAGTACATACGCTGAGTGGTAGACTGTGCATCGACCTGCGGGGTGGTGAAGAGTAGAGTGGTGGAGGTCCGTGGTCCGAAGGAGCAGCTGATGCGCAAAAAAAAAAAAAAAAAAAGAAACTAAAAAGGTG